CGCGATCTTTATGCAAATAAACCAAATTTGAGCAAAATGTGAAGTCTCATTGGCATTTGGAGTTCGAGGTTTGGAGCTTGAATCGTAAGCTTGGCGCTTGTTGCCATCAAAGATTTGCGCTTGAATGGCCAGGAGACTGGGATCTGGGATCTGGGATGTGGGATCTGGGATGTGGACTCGTCTCAGCTCGGCTGGTGGAATGTGTGTGCGCTCGTAAAAGTATCAAATTGATTAATAACAATATAAAAGGCATAAGCATAAGCCACATAAGAAAACAAACTATAAAAGTTGCGCATTGTGCGGGCGGCTGTGCCTCTGGCTGTGGTTGTGGTTGTGCCTCTGCCTCTGCCTCTGCCTGTTTGGCAATTTGTCCACTTTGCTGTGCCTAACTGATCAGATTGAGTGATGTTTGTTTGATAAGTTTGATTACTTTGTAGAGGAGGAGGACTGCAAAATGTTCCCATTCCCACGTTTGGCAGTTTTTTATTTTTCTTTGCTCTTTTTTGGGGGATTTCTGCTTATCGCAACAGTTGAAGTGATTTGATTCGAGTTGAGAGTTCGACTTTGAGTTTCGTGAGTTTAGAAGCTTGTGACATCATCGCCTGTGCATTTCACATTACGTGCATGAGTGTATGTGTTTGTGTTTGTGTCTGTGTGCGCTATAATAGGATCAAATTTTTGGTAGTTTTTTCTTGATATTTTTGAATCATAATGTTCTATAAAATGCCAGCCTCTATCTGCGTGTGTCTACTTTGATTTGAGTTTGATGTGCATGCTGCGCTGACGGTTTGATGTTCTCTTCAGTTCAGTTCAGTTCAGTTCAGCTCAGTTGTTGTTGTTCTTGTTGCTGGATGCTGGATGCTGCTGCATGCATGTCAATAATCATATCAGATTACCATGACTTTGCCCCATTGTTGCTACAATTTATGAAATTTTAGAAGTTATGCTGTGGCTTTTGACGCACATTCTTTTGTCTGGCTTTTGCTTTTTGGTTTGCCCCTCTCTGCGGTTTTCATCTCTCTCCCGTCCATTGCGAGCCCATTCTTTTCGACTTGGCTTACAGTTCAGCGCATTTGTAAAACGCTGGTTGTTATCTAATCTTGGCAAATACTACTATACTCTGATAGAATAATAATGCTCCCTTCATTAGCGTTAACGACAATGCAGATCTATAATTAACGGCGCAGGTGAGTCTGAGATGACTAAAGGCTATAGAAAGAATTTTATGATGCACTGCCCGCATGTCTCTGTTTTATTTTTAGGATTTTACGCAAACGGTTAGCAACAGTTTTGTTTATGAGACTGAGTGCACACATCCACTCACAACAACACAGCAGTTTTTGGCAGTTTTCGGTTTGTTTCTGTTGCTGTTTTTGGGGCGCTTTAATAGCCAAAACGAATTGTTTACACAAATTCACGCACAGCAGCGAGCAGAACATAAAATTCGCCTTAGTTGCGCTGCTGTTGCCGCTGCCGCTCGACAACTGGCTTCGAACTTGACTTTGACTCTACGGCTCCGTCTCTGTCTCCGTCTCCGTCTCTGTCTCCGTCTCCGTCCCGGTTCAATGTCACTTCGGTAGCCGTGGCCAAGAACAGTTGTAAAAACATGCACATTGAATGCGCAACTGCAACTGTGAGCCGTTACTGTTGCCTCTTAATGTGTTGCCTGTCCTTGCCTTCCGCTGTCAAATGTTGTCTGTGCAACCTTGGCCGCGCTTTTGACCTTCACTGTCCTTGACTGCCGTTTGTCCCGGACAATTGCCAGTTACCATAGTACGTCCAACTGCCACTGCAACTGCAACAGCAACAGCAACTGTTAATTGTTTCGCAGTTTTTGGGGTGTTGCTACATAAATACATACATATATACAAGTAGTAGTCAGAGAGGTAAGTGCTCTGACTTCAAGGCCTCATAAAAATGCTCAACAGTTAGCTATACTACGAGTATAAATTGATTTTCATGCATTTGTTTTGTGTGCCATTTGTTAGCCGTTTTGTGCCCCGAGGCGCGTGGCAGCTTGAAATGCATTCTGAAATCGTAAACTGGCAACTGTTTTAGCCGCTTCAATGAAAACTCGAATGGCCTGACACTGATTTGCAGCGGCTCTGCCCAACTTACAGTGTCGAATGGCATTTGTATTTAGAGAGAGCACAATTTTTAAAATACCCGTACATGTGTATCTGTATCTAATCTGGAAACTATCCAACATTTATTACATAATTGGTCAACAAATTAGAGTTGAAATTGTGTTTATATTTGCTTTACACTGGAAAATGATTTTAAGTGTAAAATGCTTAGAGCATTTATTAATATTTTATTAATAGACAAAAGTGTCTTCATGCTTCTTTTATTTTTATTTTGTTTAATGTCACTTATAATTTTTTTTTTCGGTTTTCGGGTTTAAAAGAACGGAAATTACGAATGGTTTACAAAACTGAAGCAGAGATTGCTAAATACAATTTAGTTATGTCATTTTTCCAGTTTATACTGGCGAGCTATCTGCCCGTGATATTTACACTTTGATTAATTTGCTTGTCTCGATATTCTATAGGGCTATTATAAGTTATGACATGTCCAGGCCCCCCCTTAACAGTCATTGATGTTGAGGCATTTAAGGTTTACAATCAAAGTACAATGGCAATTCGGAGCCATATCTACTTGAACAATTGAATGGGAAAAGCACTTCAAATAGATCCGATAGACTACTGACTACTGTGCAGCCCTCGTAGGTAATTGGCACCAACTGTTCCTGTAATTATTATCGTTGTGGCTAACTGGCTAATCGGTTTTAATGCAACACCACGCTCTAATTGGAACTCTTGCCGACTTAATGGAGCACTTGTGCTTGTGATATGGCTGTTTTGCACTCCTTGAGACTCACCACCGCGTTTCCCCCTGGCACCGCCGCTTTGGGCCATTCAGGTACATACTATTTAAACCACTTTCGCTGCGCTGTATCGATGATAAGATAAAGCAGCTTAGCACAATTTTTTTAGTTGAAATGTTTGCACTCTGGGTGTACATACAAACATATGTAAATATATATGTCTGCCGAGTCAGCTAAGTACAAGTACAAGCTACTTGACTGCTGGGGGTGATGGTGAGGGGAGTGGCAATAGCTGTTCGGCCCGTGAGTGCTTATCAATTGCATTATTTGATAAATGCTTGTCTTGTGGACAGAAAGATGCGGTTTGGGGAGGCGGTGCGCATATTTTTAGCATTATTCGCAAAGAAGGTGTGATTGTGTGTGTTCGAGTGTCGTGTAAACAAGCCGCTTAAATAGACATATAGACTCGGACAGTTTTATTTGATTCTGTTTATTGCGAAATCGAAAACGTTTTCGTGCACAATGTTGTGCCAATGATCATCAATAACAACAGCAACAACAACAACTACAACTAAATGAACAGCAACTTGTTTTCATTATCTCCATGATCATTATTATGGATGTGCTAATGATCATGTCGATTATGTTTTGCTTTGAGGTTGTTGAACGCTCGCCTGACCAGCCAAGTTTATTGTGGGGTCCGATTATTGTGAATGATTTGTGAAGTGTTTGCGTTATCATAAACGCATGAACGTTTCTTTTATAGGTGTACGAGTAGAAACATACATACATATGTACATATGTATGTATATTGAGTTCAATTTTTGCAAGTCAATTATTTATGGCCCAGGCATTTTAATTTTTTCATGATTAGGGAAACGTGATCGTATTTAAGTAGTGTGAGTAGGAAAAACCCAGCTAAAATAGTACTAGACCTAGGTTTCTTGCCCACCTGCTTTATTTTGCTTTTTGTTTTTATTTTTTACTACTGGTTTTGCCTTTTTTTGTGTGCAGTAACTTTTTACTGGTAGTAGGTCTTGACTGGTCAGCAATAAAAAAAGAGGAAGCTTACATGTGGAAATGAATTTTATGGCTACTATTGTTATTTAAATTATTTTAGCGTCAAGTTATGCAAATACTTTTCAATTTCTAATTACTGTAAGGCCTATAGTAAAACAGCTACTAAATATGTTACGTACTGTTCCTGGAAAGTCAGTTCTGAAAAGTTCACCCGTTAATGAAGAATTGAGCAACCAAATTATATATGAATGTATGTAATTCCCAATAGATCTTAGTATACGTATACGAGTATAGCTAAAACGAATAGAATGTTGAAGTCGTGGCAGCCATTTATAGTTTTTCTAATCACTCTAATGGCTGCTATATGGTCTACTTGTAGTTTACCGACTTTGATCAAATTTGAGATACGAGGTTAAGTGTCCCTTACTGTTAGGTGTCAATAGTTCTCGGTGTTCATAGACTCGGACAGATAAACAAACTTGTCTAAGGGAATAATTACAATTTTTTAATTTCCGCAGTAGCTTTACAGATTTTAGATTTGTAGAGGGAATCACAAATCGGAATTTGGTGATACACCCCTTCCCCCTCCACTCTTCATCTATAATTATATTTTGTTTGAAGTAGGTCGTATTTCAATTTCCGTAGCAGATTAAAGATTTATGATTTGTAGGGGGGGAATTACAAATCCGAATTTATTTTACGATGTTGCCTATTTTAAACCAGGAAGCAAAAGCTTTCAGGTGTTTTTTTTAGAATCATGGTACTTTATTGGCCTTCGTGGTGACTAAGGGCCAGCAACCTGTCAATAAGTGATTAAAAGGCGCTAAAATGATGTGCAATTTTGGTCACATACACACTTAAAGTAGCCGCTTATCAATTTTGCAAATCCGAGACTTATAGATATGTGTTTGATAACGACGCGTGTGGCTAGAATGTTTACAATCGCTTGGCCACCAACACGACAATTAACACCCGTAATTTGACATAATAATTTAATAATAATTTATGAGGCGGATTCCTCTGAGTGCAAAAACTGCGCAATAGCTTGATTGTTAGGCTGCAGTTTGCAGTGATCGATAAGCAAAAACATCTAAACCAATTTCCAAGAATATCGCATTATCAAAAAGGCCGTAAAATTTTAATGCACACTTACCTTGGTCATGAGACGATCAGCACCGGTGCCCTCCTCGTCCCTAAATATAATATCCTTATGATAGTTAGGTACTAGGTCCTTAAATTTGGGCGAATGGCGCTGTATTTCACCCTCCAGCGGTCCGGAGGCACCCAATTGATATTCGGATAGGTTTGGTACGCACTGTTTGAGCACCAACGGGTACAGATTGCGCTCTTTGCGGCGGCCCAGACCTCGACCAGGTCCACAGCTGTGGGCGGGCGAGAAGCACAAAATCGCACAAAGCGCCACGAGCATGAGAATGGAGACTAAGTTGGTGTTGCGATGGCGGCACGTGATCAGCTTTGAAGCACATTCAATATACGGGGTGCTGCTGTCGCTCTGATTGCCATTCTGCGGCGTTCCTTCCAGGCTGCTTTGATGGCGATTGAGGGAGAGGCAGGTGGTGCTCGCACACTCCAAAGGTAGGGTGTCAACGTAATCCATGTTAGTGGGCTTAAAAAATTGTTGTCTAATTGTCGCTGTTGTATCTAAAAAATGCTTCGATAATCTTTTTGGTTGTTTAGCACACATAAGCACAACTTCAGAGAAGGAAATTCTCTAATTATTTTCGTTGAATTTTTTTCACTCTAATGCTAATGGGCACGTTTCGCACTAACTAACGATCAATTAATTCTTAGACATTTATCAAATACTATACGTATTTCGTTAAGTTAATTAATAGAGTTTATTTTGATTTCATTTATGTATTTTTTTTTTTTTTTTTTTTGGCACAAACAGCACACACACAATTACGCAGAGCTGGAATTTCGCACGTCTATGAAACTGGTAAGAATATTTTACAATATTTCTCGACTGGACTGGGACTGGCACTGTCACTGTCAAATCGGTTGGTTCGCCTTCTTCGGCAGCTTCAGCTCTCGACAACCGTTGCGCTCGCACTGTGATTGACAAATGACATTTCCGAGCGTACGAGCATTGCGACGAGGGTGCTTTCAAGAACCCTGACGGTGACAGCAACAGCAACAGCAACAACGACAGCGGCAGCGACGTTCGCAGCGCAACACTGCACACCGCTCGAAATGAATACAGGCACGCACACACACACACACACACACACACACACGCACACACACATGCACCCGCACTGGCGATCGATGTTCATTTCGATTACGATTTGGTCGGTATGTGTGTGCCTCTCATTGGGTTGCTGACGACAATCAGCGTTCATTCTTATGCTGGCAAGCGAGCGCAGGTGTGAGCGAGATAACCAGCTAGTCGCCCATTGCCTGCTCTGCACACACACACACATTTTATATTTGTGCATGTGTTGGCTTATGTATTTCCTATGCTTGCTCCAACAGATGTTGCTGCTGCCAGCGATCACTTGAGGATTGTTCATTTTGAGGTTTGAGGTGCTTGCCTGTGTGTATGTGAGTGTGTGTGTGTGTGTGTGTGTGTGTGTGTGTGTATGTTGCCAATTGGATGCGCATGTGAGCATGCATGTATGCGTGCACATACAATTGTGTGTGTTACATACATGCATGCACACATATATCATCATGTTAGTGGCGCATCCTCAGCTGCAATTTCTCTTAACACTTGCACTATTGACTCGACTCTTGCAGCTTGTTAACCGTAGTAGTAGTAGTATTTGTTGTATTTGTTGTTGTTGTTCTTGCTGCTGCTGCTGCTGCTGCTTTTACCTCACTGCCTCATGCTACTTACTATATGTATGTTTCTTGTAGGTCTTTTTTTTTTTGCATTGTTCACCTTTTGCCTTTCTTCGTTTTGGCTTTAGTTGTATTTTTTTTTCCTTTTTTCGTTTCTTGTTTTGTTGCTTCGTTTTATTACTTGTAAATTAATAATGTTCCGGTTTTTTGTGTATTGTGTATGCTTCAGTTTTGCTCGCCTCTCTTCCAGCGCCAACGCCAACGTCACTTTGCCATTACACCATTTTTCTTTTATTTTCCGCTGACGCTCTGACCCGGCTCCTACTTGTAGCTTTCAATTGATGGCAGAACAACTTCCGTTTAAAGCAGTTAACTAACAAATAAATACATAAGTAACCGAGTTGGTCAAAACATGCACTCGAACTCTAGGAGAGGTGCAGTAATCGTCTTTTACACAGCAAGCGCTTCGAGAAATTTACAGAAAATGCGAGTAAAGAAGTATGCCTGACAACTGCAAAAACAGCAATTTTTTATTTAAGTTTCTCATCCATAAATGTCGGATTTGTCGCATGAATGTGCAATGTCCGACCTTATTAAAATAAAATTTAGAAAAACGCCTATAGACTAAAAATGACCTTAAGTATAGAAAACGTCTTATGTATGAAAGCCCTTGCTCCAAATCTTAAAAAAAAACACGTCTCTGTTAAATGTAAACAACGACAATTCTTGCATAAACTTAAGGCGATTGACCAAATTTGTTCTAGCTTTTGTGGCGTAACCTTTGGATGGATTAACATACAAATTTCCAAAATTGAGTTAATTTCACTTTGAAACCTAGGAACAATTTAAAAATGCTCTTTTCTCTGTGCAAAATCCGACGTTATTAAATGCACCTTAAACAGACATACTTTTCATTAACCTTTCGTGAAGCTCTCTACCATCATTTGCGTTTGATTTAGCTGTTCATTATTCGAAAAATATTTATACATAGCTGAGGTAAAAAAATTGCACTATTAACATATACGATTCTGTCTCTGAAACTCTTGTAATCTTCCATATAGCAAACCAAGCAACTTCTTAAAGTATCATTAAATAGAAGCGACCAATTTCAAAATGCAACAGAAAGGTATATTTATTTCAAAAGAAATAATTGAGCATAAAGGGGTACTACTTGAATTTCAAAGCCCTCGCACTTATCGTTGGTGAACCAGCCCCAGGACTTCTTAACTACGACATAAAGCTTCGTGTTGTTTCTTGGCTTTTGAAGAGAAAAATCTTTAATCGCGTCATCATACAGTTTTTATTATTGTATTCCGGTTGACTTTATAAGTGAAGTTGGCTTGTTCTCGAACCATTTAAGGGACTTCTTGCTCGTATGATTTTGATCATTATCTTGTTGGAAGTCCCATATCTTCTTCCGCATAAGATAAGTAGCATGCGTTTCTAGATCAATTTAGGGTGTACTAAAAAATTCAAAGAGTACAAATTTATAGGTTTATTAAAAATAAAACACAGAGATAAGAATTTTGCGCAGGAAGCTTGATAACAATTAATTATACTTGTAGAAAGCTTAGTTGTAGGAGGCTAAGTTGCCAATGACTAATATAATATTATATGATAAGCATTTATCACCCATCTTCCTGCAAGCAATTTAATTGTTAAGTTCCGCTGACCTCATTCCTTGCCGTAACATTAGAAAAATATTAACATTAAATACCAAATGTAGGCGCAGCAAAATTTCTTTGGAAATTCCCGCAGAGTTTACGCCGTAACTATAAATATTCAAATTAGTTTCTACACTCAACAAATAATTGCAATTTTAATTATAATATAACATGTCTATACTAATCTTTCCCAATAGATCATGCTTTAGTTATTTCACGTTTACTCATCCAAGATATTCAAAGATTCAGTGATGTACTATATGTTCCTTTAACATGTGGTATGCCTTTCTTTGCTCTTTTCTTTTCCTAAGGGAGAGAAGTGCACGAAACAGACACATTGGTAGTATATCTACTCGTCTTATCATGTTGGTCATATATATATATGTACATATATATACATAGTTTGTACTATATGTTCCAAAAAGACGTGGTCTATCATTATTTTAAATATTATATTATTATTTCCTATGGATATTAAAAACGTCTACACAAAAACCTATATATACAAGTATATATATATATATAGTTACTTGTATGTACAATACACCATATTCAGTGAAGGATATAACATAAATGATATTACTAGCAGTAATAAGCACAAACTATGTAGTAAATATTGTCAAATAATTTTTAACACTTATGTAAGTTGAAAATACATTTCCTACATCAAAGACAGACTTTAATAATTGTAGGACAGATTTAAAAATTTCCACAACATTTATTAAGAATTATTGCCGAAATATTTGAAACTCATAAATAAAATAGGTATTAAAATCCGCTTCTAAATTAATATAGCGTGTAAGAAATGAAAGCAGATCGCACTGCAAGGAAAAGATGATTTGTTATTAATCTGATTCGAAATATTGGCTAGTTATTCTTCAAGTGTAGAGTAACATTTAGTTTCTCGCTTGATGCTTCTATTGTATTGCTCCCGTTTTTGTTCCCGTTATTTGCTCAACTCTTTCGCTAGCATTTTTCTCGCACGATTTAAGCTAAAAATATTAATAATAACAACATTGTTTGATGAGCTACCTCAACACCTGAGCCCAGAGATATTGTCTTGCTTTTTGACACCACATTGTGTGAAGCTGCGCACACCTCGTACACCCTCTACTGTTGACTCTTGCGACCGCATAAGCGGTCTATTTGCCCAAGGAATTCGCACTTGTTCTCCGTAGCCATATGGCGTGTGCAAAAAGTCCCTTTTAGGCGGCGAAGTTCAAGCGAAGAGCAAAAGTCGGTGCTGCTTAATATGCACCTTTATATTAGGCGCTAAAAAGTTGTCATTTGTTTGGATTCTGATTGATTGATTGATATATTGGGCGACTCAAAGTGCACCTGCTGCCCCCTGTACTCTCTAATTCCCTCCCTCGTGCAATCTCATTTTCTCTCTATATGGCTACAAAGTAACGGATATTGCTCAAAAGCTGCCTGTGTGGCTGACGGCCTAGCATTGTAAGAGGCACATGATGTGAAAGATCGAATGGACATAAGCAGCCGCCACAGCAACTGTTGCTGGTTCGTAATGGAATGCAAAGCGTAGCATAATTTTAACAACAGAGCAACAACAACAAAATTCAATAGGAATGAACGTTGAAGCGGCAAAGATATAAAGAAAAGGCAAAACGCCATCAACAAGATACACGGAACCAAATTAAAGATGAAGAAGCTGAGGCAGAGACTAAAAACTGAACAACTGAAGAACTGAACAACTGCCACAACCGGCCACAAAGAAGCTGAGCCAGCATCAACCTCAGAGCAACCACAGCCGCAGCCGCAGCCGCAGCGACAGCCACAGCCACAGACGAGCGGCAAAATGTCTTTGTGTTTGTGAGCTCATGTCTATGTGGCTGCCACATAAATTTTCATGTAGACTCCGTCTGCATATAAGTATGCATGTAGTTATATACACGGCTCTCAATGTGTGGATGGCTCATTATCTATATATGTATATATAGTGTTTGGATGTATGTGTTCAGTGTGTACATGGGGCGGAGCTGCTTCAGGCGCTCATTTGTGAATGAACACAGTCGAGAAATCGTCGGGCCTCAAAGAAACGACCAGACGCGACTAGCAGCACCAACAAACAGATCTGAGCATTTGATGCCAAAAAAAATCGACTTAATGAGCATGAATAAATGGCAGCAGCAGCAACTATAACAACAACAATAACAAGTGCGGCATTTGTGGTCCAAACTGCGCAAGAAATCGAGTAAATAGTGTTGATCATAATGATGCTGAAATATCGCTTACGGCTCTGCCCGAACAACAACAACCATCTGGTACATATACTTCTTTTTGTTTGGCATCATTACATTTATTTTGGGTATTTTCTTTTTGGCTCTTTTTGTTTACAGCCATAGAGATAAAAAGCCTGAGATTAAATATTAATTAGATTTAGATTTAATG